GGGGGGAACCATGGCCAAGATAATAACGTTCCATGTGGTTGCAAAGGGCTTTTTACATCCATTCAAGTAAGGGTATTTTTGTATTTACAGCATATGGCTGAATATATTGATGGCCAAGGTACTAAGGTTCCATGTGGTTGCAAACCCCCGAAAAGCGCCGACATCTTCACAAACATTTGTAAGTTTGAAAGATGAAGATGAACTTGTTGAGTATTCAGCCATGCTAGTTTGGCATGGTTCGAGCAAAGGCTTTTGTTGGTCTGTGTGCTTGCGGCCACAAAAAGAGATGCACGCGCACAGTGTTGGTTGTTTTGTGATGAAATGCTACTACTACCACTACTGCTGCTGCTACTGCTACTCCTACTACTACTACTACTACTACTACTACACTACCACTGCCACCTACTACTGCTACTACTACTACTACTACTACTACTGTACCACTACTACCATTGCCACTACCCGGATCATCAGTTTCTTCTTTGGGAAATACAACACATGGCTTTGGTTACCGAAACCGAATCAGCAAGTTTTGGTTATCGAATCAGCGGTTTTGGTTGCCGAATCAGCGCTTTTCGTTACCGAATCATAGTTACCGAATCAAACCGTTTGGTTACTGAATCAGACGTCGACCTTTGGCCTCACACGCGGTGCCCAATGACAATTTGGTCTTGCATCGTTGCTGGTCTGAAGGGTCACTGAAGCGTAGCTTGAAAAGAAAAACTTACCTAGAAGTAGTAGAGCCCAACGTATATCAGACCTTTGATTGGAGCAGCTTAGGAATGCATGAAACTACATGGCTATACATGGGTGTTTGAAAGGATGCAGATTTGAAGCCCACTCCATTGAAGCAGGACCGAATACGCTGAAGTACTAGGTGCGTTGGAAGCATGGTAAGAAGCCAAACATGTACCCACATGTGACGGGTACTTTCTTGCAAAAATTGTTTTGAAACTGCTGACAGTCTCTATTGCTGAGAGAGACCAGTGCTGGACACTGGACTTGGTAACCCTGCAAATTCCTTTTCCAGTTAGGTCAATAGACACTGATGCAGAATGGTGCACAATTGGTTTTTGTAGAAGTTTTTGGCTGTTGACAGAATTATATAGATCTCCCTGTTCTGAGAGTGATAACATAGAGATCGCATTGAATATGTGAATGCTGACATGCTTGCAGGCCCTCCACTCAAGGAAAATATATAGCCGCTAGTTGCCCGTGGCTGAAAGGAGCAAGAGCATCATCGTGGGCTTGGGGCCCGCTCCTTCTGGACCTTCGTTTCTGAGGCAATGCGAGGAGCTCCTGGCAAACCTGGCAGACTTGTACGATACACGGTCAGTGTATGAGAGGCAAACCCCTGCAATGCTGCTGCATGGTCAGGAAAGGTTTTGGGAGGCGTTCATGAGGCGTTCTAGATTTGTTTGCACCCCTGCAAACCTCGTCGTATTTTCTTATGCTTGTTGTTTTGGTTTTTTGTCCCATTTGATTTTGTTGCAAGATTGGGGTGAATAGTTGTTAAGATGTATCTAGGGCTCAATCCAGCTGAAATCAACAATGCAACGTGACATTGCAATGCAGCTTGGTTCTGTGAACCTTGACCAAGTCTTTGCAAAAGTTATCGAATAAGCTTGCACCTTGTGTCTGAGGAGCATTATCACGAAATCCATTGTGCAGACGCTTCTACCTGGAGCCAAGGGTCATGAAAGAACATATGCGACTGCGGGGCAGCGTTTGGAGAGCCCAGATGACTCTTTTTAGTGAAGGGAGGATGGTTGTGATTTTGGCGTGCAGATTCTATAGTTGGTTGTTTGATTCCAGGATGCGAAACGATTTTGGTCAAGTGTTGTCCAGGCCGAGTTTGTGTCAATCGTCGTTGGTCTAGGTTCACGTACATGGAGTCGGTGCAATTGTGTGTTCTTCTGTCTTAGGTTGAAAGCACGGTATAAAGCGGCTCCAAGTCATGTGCCACTAGATGATTTACAGCAGAACAGTTTTTTGCGCAGTTAACACCAGGCAAATCCAGAACATCCAACAAGCCGAGGTGGTTTTACTCGCCTTCGCTGGAGCCAAACGTGTTCTAGGATCTCCAGATCCAGGATGGGAGGCAGGGACAGATCCATGCAGACAGCTAAGAAGCAGGGTTGTTGCAAACAGGGATCCATTGCCAACTCAGTCTGGCTAGAACCCACATGAATTCCATTTAGCCTTTTGAATTTCTTTGAAAAATGCTGGAACCCATGATGTGATGTCCCCATCTGCCTTTTTGCACTTGCCGTGCTGTGGTACATCTCAGCAAGCTAAGCAGATTCCCTATTTGATTCCAGGAGGTGCGTGTGGTGGCAGCAACTCAAACGTGGGCCAAGGTCGTGCTTTGGGTTCGGCATGTTTTTGAAGTGCGTTCATTCCGATATATAGATAAATAAATAAATACATGCACATATATATATATATACATGTAAAAATACATGTCACGAAAGCCAGCCGATAGGCTAGGCTGGAGTTGGGATGGGCGAACGAAGTGAGTATTAGGGGGTGTGGGGGGGGGTGGTCGCACAGAGTGCAGTTTCGGAGGGCGAGCCCAGAGCCTGATGGGGCAGAGCGAAAAAGACTAGCGTCAGTCTGGGATTGAACATTGATGCAGGTAATGTAATTGACGGCGAATAGTGCATCATTAGCATCATGAGGGGGTCAGGAGGCAATATAAACCAGGGGTGGGTTCATGTCGATGATAGGAAAGAGGGACAGTGGGACTTGGAGCTCCTTCAGGAAAGGGAGCGCGCATCTCTCAGTGTTCGACCAGGGGTGAAAGGGAGGTGTGTGTGTCTCTTAAGACACTGTGTGATCTGCGAGGGCAGGAGAGGCAACAGAGACAGAATGCGGTGGGCCAGCTTTGCGTTGGTGAAGCGGCATAGTCGCCAGGCGTGCCCTTTTTTGATGATGAAGACGCCCCGTAACCATACGCATAAGGGCACCCCATATGGGGTGCGAGTTCAAGTAATGATGCGGTCCGTTGAGAGAACAGAATCCAGCGGGCAAGCTTTGAGTTGCTTGGGGTTGCCCTTTTTAATGGTGGAGAGGCCTAGTAGCCAGACTCAAAAGGGCACCCCATATAGGGTGGGAGTTCATGCGGATGAGACAGGCATAGCGGAGGAGGACGTGATAGGAAAAGAGGGATTGCAAGAAACGATGTGACCCAGGGAGAACAGGGAGGGAACAAGCTTTGAGTCCCTTTCTTTATGGTGAAGAGGCCTGTTGACCACACGCAAAAGGGCACCCCATATGGAGTGGGAGTTCATGTGCAGGATAGGCATAGCGGCATAGTGCTGGAGGATGTGATAGGAAAAGAGGTGGGGAGCAACCCCCATGACCATATTGATATCTTTTACGGTGGCTGGCTTTCGTCTTCTCCCTTCTCAGGTATATATATAATACATGTATATATATATATATAAATTTTGTTTTTTAAAGCCGGCGGGGTAGGCCGCAGTAGCTAGAGGTAGCTAGTAGGAAGAGGTAGCTAATAGCTTAAGTAGCTACTAGCATGGACGCAGGATAGCTCACTCTTCCTCAAAGAAGCTCCTAAAGTCAGCCGGGGGAGCTTTCTTGAAGAAACGCTCGCACTATTCATGTGGTTCTTAGATTTTTAGGGAAACTTAACTTTATCATTGTTTCTTGTTGACAGTGTAGCCCAGGCATCCGTGCCACCTCTACGGTCCCTGCTTCTTCCCTATGGTCACCTTCACCTTGCCCAAGTGGCCGGAAGCTGGGATTCGCTGCGTTCGGTGATGATCGCAGGCTGATGTCTTGACTTGGTCCGTTTGAGGCACAACTCCTGGCATCCTTTGAGTCCGCTGTGGCCTTGAAGGTGGGATGATCAAGTTCGGAGTTGCATGCCAAAGGGAGCTTCGATTTTATCATATGTCGGGTTTTCCAGTTCTTATTGATAATGTCCTGGATACCATTTCAAACCGAAGCGGAGTCGGCCGAAAGCTAGCAACATGTGAATCTCCAAAATATATCTCAGGAACTTGCCCAAAGTCATAGCCACATCAGTGTCCACACCTGGCTTGCGTGAGTGGGAAATGCCCAAACCAAAGCAACATCGCACGTGCAGGCAGAGTTTGGACTTTCGAGCATCCCACAGGATGCGATTCCGTCAGATTGGCGTCCACGGCCATTAGAGGACCGTTTCACGGATTCTTCCGAAGTGTTTCTAACATGCTGGGTCAGGACTGTGGCATACTTTAGACAGAGATTCCCATGACTATTTCTCATTCCCCTGCTACTGAACCCCGAATGTCCAACCGGGCAAGCCAGTGTACCCCAAGTCAGAATGTCCTTTGTATACTAGCCCAACTTAGTTGCCTGCCAGTCTGTCTCAATATTGCAAAGTTGCCCACCACAGAGTGTATCGAGGAACCAGAAGTAGATCCCAATTGCTTTGAATTTAGATGCAGGATTCACGCTAAGGCCAAGGCATAATACTACATCAAATCGAAGCAAGGCATTGTCTTCTGGAAACCTTAAGACTTTGCCAGCTCTATTTCGTCATGATGTCCTCAGCCTTAATTTGTCACTGTAGTTTTGCTGGGCTAGTTCCGGCAAACAGGATGCTGATGTGAGTCCACCAATCAAGCGCAAGGCAGAAGCTTGTAGCTCAGAGAACTCAGCCTGGAGCCAGGCTGACATGTTTGTTCGAGTCTCCATGTACCGTATTTTGATCGGAACACTCTGCAGATTCTCTGGTATATTTTGTAGAATCGGGTCAGGATGGTTTGCTGTCTTTTCTTGAATCAGAGCGACCTGTGCATGGTGTTTGCATCGGGTGCACAGACTTCAAGGCCATGAACCATTTCAAGATGAGCAACGAGCTGCTATCAACAAAACAAGAAAAGGGCCAGAAGGAGAGGTGTTTACAATACAGAGTCAAAAGAAACAACAAGTGTGAGGCAACAACAAGGTTGACTTGTGTGTTTTAGGGGTCCAAAGTCCGCAAGCCTGACCTGCAAAAAGAGCAAGCATGTGTGGAGGAGACAAAGAAGATGCCAGGTGAAAAGGCGGGAACCCGGAGCAGTGGCTATCACTACATCTGCAAAGCGTTGTTCAATACCGCAAGAGGCTGCCAGCGTCAAAATGCCGGACAAAGCCTTGAAAAAGGCAGTCTCCAGCAATGAAGAGGCTCCCCTTCAGCCATACGCGCGCTGGTTGACTTGTAGTGAACGATTGTAGTATGGTAGGCCGTTTCTCGGGGAGTGCCACAGGCCACCTGCACAAAGAACTCCAAGAAGAAATCTTTTGGGAAGGAGGCGCAGAAGATTTGCGGTATGGAAACTATTTGCCACCTGGAGTCTCTTTTGCCCCCAACAACAGCCTTTCTGAGCTGACTCGGCAACCAAAGAGCGTAGTAGCTCTAGATACCTGCTAGTAGCCTAGCCACGCTTACTTCAATAAAGGTGGAACCTACTCTTGAACCTCCTTGTAATCTTGCCCTGCAATTCTCTTTGGCTTTCATAAGTCTCACGACTACTTGGCAAATTCATCTCCTGATTCCGGATGTGAATTTAGCGGTGGCTGGGAGGCACCAGGGCCAGCAATCACTACTGCACATTTTCTTTACTGCACTGCACTATCTTGCGTCCATGTCGTTATCGTGCTCATGTGTTGCTCTCATGGATCTTCGTGAGTATTGGTTAAGTTGTCTCCAACAACAGTTCATTAAACTTTCCCTCCAAGCCAGGGCTAATGGGCTAATACCTCTACTTGAGCCAGGATGTCACCGAAGCTCTGGCAACATTCCTTTTGAATCCCATGTGCTTGAAAGCGTTCTTGGCTGTTCTCAAGTGGCGTGTTTGTCGACTGGACTGCTACCGGGTTGTGCAGGCGACCTTAGGGCTCACCTGGTTGGTCCTGTGAGTTTCTCCGGATTGACCAATGGCAGGGTCGCTGCTCCCAACCGCCGAACTGGCTTTGCTCACCAATCTGACGGAGCTGGACCGGTCTTCAAGACCCACCTTGGAATGCATTTTCAGCATGTCTTGGTGGGGTGACTTCACTTTGCATCTTGGCTACATTGCCCTGACAGACGTTGAAAGAAGCCGTAGGCTGCTCGCAGATCGGGAGTTGAATGCTGTGGAGGTCATCAAGCTGCATTGAGCTGGGGAGTGGAGTTTGACAGGTGTGGACCTGTTGGTGCACTCCTTGCAGCTGATCAGCTTGATGAGATGGATGTGGAGTTGGTTACCACAAGGCCAGGTCACCAATCGAGGCTCCGAAGAATTGCAAATCAAACCCTCCTCGTGAAGGTGGTGAGTAAAATATGCCGCTCGCCCCCAGAATGTCACCAAGCCCAAAAGGGGACGCATCGGTTTGCGCCTGCGCTGCTGTCTGTTGAGGTGTCCAAACATACAGTAAATCTTTCGTAGTCCAGCAAACAGATCTTCAAGCTCAAGCATTGCCCGTATCCAAACAATGCTGTATTGAAATGCTTCACGAAGACCTGGCCATTGCGAACTCGTGTGGTGTCACAAACCGGAGCTCTTTGCAGTGTCAGGACAAGCAGAACGCGTTACCAGTTATGGTCGCGCTAGTGGAACTGCAGACGACAGCCATCCCAGCACGCCCGGGGCGCAGTGCAATAGATGCACAGGAACAATTCCTTTCCGCTCCTGAAGCTTGGCTAGTGTTTGCAAGTCCGGCCACACCCGCATCAGCTGAAAACCTGTCTACCCAAGGCCAAGACTAGTTCCCATGGTAGTTTTCGCCCAGTTGATCTGCAGTCGCAAGCTGAGCCATCTGCCATAGAGGTGGTTGCTGAAGACAGTGGGTTGCTTGACCTTCCAGCACCATCTTGTCTAGAGCGTCTTGTGCCGTTTATCCTCGCTTTCGCCTGTTGCGCTGTTTTCTTCTCCAAAGTCTGAATCTTGAGCTTATGGCATTGTCATTGCCTCTTGCTCGCAGCTTTTGAAAGGCCCTCGTAGAGCTCGAAATGAAGGCTCTCTGTAAATCGACTCCTCTGCGACACGCGTGCACCTGTTGTCGGCAAGGTAGGTCTGGAACAGGTGTGTAACTA